GCTTCTCCCTCTCTCACTCCCCCTGCTTGTGTTCCCTCTCTTGCTGTGTCTCTCTCTGTCAAATAAATAAATAAAATCATTAAAAAAAAAAAAAAAGATGCCAGGCTCTGTCCCAGGCCATTGGCCTCTCCTGAGGTCACCGACTCTCCAGCCCCTGGTATCAGGAGTGGACAGGAAAGCCCCATTCCAGACTGCGTGGCTTGTAACTGGCATAACCTCCCCCTCCCCCCCGCCATAGACTTTGTCTACACTCTCTGTTGTGTTCTTCGAGCCACCAGGCAGGGTCACTCTGACCAGTAAGTGTCTAATCTTATCTGTTGAGCTGTTCTTTGCCAGAAAGGCAGGGCCAGGTCTGAGCCAGACCAGGGGAGAGGTGACTCAGGCTTGGGTCTGCCCTCATGGGGCTCACAGACAGACAGATGGATCATTACAGGATGGGGGAACGTAGTTCAAGAGAGGAGAGTCAGGGGTTTCACACCCATGAGAGTCCCTGTGCGGACCAGGAGGGACTGAGCTGGTTCTGGAAGGCAGGGCTGGTCCTCCCTGCCCCCTCCTCTCCCCACCCTTCTGTGAGACCCCTGGGCTTTGGAATGGTTGCTAATCCAAACGTCAGCCAGGACTGGGCAGAAGCTGGTGCCCAGCCTGGACTTCCCTCTACCTCAGGAGCTCTCTCTACTCTGCTCCCTGGCTTTGAACCCGAGGCTGGGCCACAGCCAGACAAGGGTTCCTGAGGCCCCTTCAAATCCCAGCCTACTCTCTGCTCTTTGGGGGACTCGAGGTCTTCTAGCTGCTGGTTCCCTGAGCTTGGAGGCCTGCCAAGAGGAGGAGTCTCGGGGCCGGAGCAGAAGGCTAGTCTGGCAGGCAGAGCACTGGGGACTGTGGAGTGTCCTGGTCAGGGGTGGGGAGATCTGGGCTCTTGACCTGCACTACCACTGGGCCCTGCTCCCCAAGGCAAGACTGTCTCTTAGCTTCAGTTTTCCCACCTCTAAAATGAGGCCTTTCTGGTGCTTGGACCTTGTGGTTCTTTTAAAAGAAGGTTCTTTCTTGTGCCTGGAAGTAGAGGGGTCCTCTAACAGATGAGGAGCCTAGACAATGACAGGTCCATCTCCCTGGTGACAAGCATGTCCTCCCTTCCCCTGGCCAGCCCCAGCCTGCCCTTCAAAACACACATTCCATCAACTTCCAGATGCCCATTTCCATGTTGCAACCTCTCTGGAATCAGGATGAGCCTTGCCATCAAGGATGTCTCAGGGCCCGGGACATCCCTCCCAGCCGGTCTCCTAGACCCTGGCTGGCCTGATCCCTCTCCCCACCATGCCATAATTGTTGCGTTACTTTGGGCAGTGCCTGGGGGCCCAGAAACTTGTCCCACCCAACTTAAAAGAAATGTGACTGGCCAGAGGAGGTGACGTCAGTTCCATAAACCACAAAGCAAGAGTTGGCTCGATGTTGCCGCAGTGAAAAGGAAGGTCTGACACTGTTACCAGGCCTAGCCTCTCCTGCCTCCCCCATCAGACTCCCAGGGGCCTGCAAAGCCCAGGGGTTTGGAGGATGATGGGACAGGCAGGAGGAGATGAGATGCTGGAAGCAAACCCATGGACTCCCAGAACTGGGCTGAACGGTGGCAGAGTGAGTGGGTCCAGCCCCCGTCCTGGTGCCTGGGAGCCCGCCTGGACAGGCTGAGCACGCTAGTGAAGGACAGCCAATGTGCCCAGCGCGTCCAGGATGTCCAGGCACACACAGGCTGTCTCTCAGCCCTACCCTAATTCCACCTCACTGGGTCACCCGCCCTCTGAGGTTGTGTGAGGAAATGGAGGCTCGGAGAGGGTAAGCAAGGTACCAAGGGCCACAAGGTTTGTTAGAGGAGAGCTGAGGTGCCAACCAAGCTATCTGACTTGAGTCTGGTGTGCTCTGACCTCCACGACAGAGCCCACCAGAGGTCCTTTGTACATGCAAGAGCTGGTGGAGAAGAGGTATTTCCCAAATTTCAGTGAGTCCTTCCTGCTGCAGACTCAGAGCTGAGCCCTTGACCTGTGTTAACTCACTCTTCACAGTGACTCTGGAAGGTGGGCACCATCCTTACTCCTATTACGTGGTCAAGAAAACAGGCACAGAGAGGGTAGGGGACTTGCCCAAGGACACACAGCTTTAAGTGACAAAGCCATGACTCGAACCCAGGCAAGTCTGGCTCCAGTGTCCTTAGTCCCTCCCAGCCATGCTGGGCCACCAAGTGCCCTCTTAGGATCTGCGGTGTACCCAGGTTGCCTAAGTCAGTCCCTGGGACACCTCTCCCAGGGAGGTGCCGTTCTTGCCACTTCACAGTTGATACTACTGAGGCTCTCGCTTCCGATGGCGGAGCGAGAACTGCCTTTGAGCCCACACTCCGCTGGGAGACCCCTCGGAGGGCCCGGTGGGTGCACCGGGACGCGCGTGCGGAACTCGACCGGGAGGCCAGGCGCGCGAGGCAGGGTCGGGGGCGCGGGGCCCGGAGGGGCGGGCACTCACCTCGGGGAAGGCCCCCTCGGCGAAGACCATCAGCAGCGACGTCTTCCCGCAGCCGCCGTCGCCGACCAGGACCACCTTGACCGACCGCGCGCCCTGCGGCGCCTCGGCGCCCGC